ATTAAATTCAGAGATCACGAGTTTTCAAGTTTAATGCGGTATAAAAATATAATAAAGGTAAGTTTTTAAAGGTTATTGGAGATATTTGGATCCTTTAGTGCAGTTGCTACCAGCTTATACAATATTATTAATGATAGTAAATGGAAATTAGCATGGATTGTTATTTGTGCAGAAAAACTCTCTCGATTTACAGTTGAGCGAATATTTTGGAAACTACAACAGACAATTATATCAGTTAATGTAAAAGAGGACTTAAAACCTGAACCCCCATGGTTAGATTTCCCAAATCTTTATTATCTTAAAACAGAAGATAAACAGATTTTATTAAGTCATAACTCCTGGCTAAATGATAGCATGATGGATGCTGCCCAAATCCTCATTTGTAAACAGCTGGGACCAAATGCAAAATTTCAATCAGTACTAGCCGTTCATAAATGTTCAAATAGTTCATACCAGCCAGTCAATAATGAACACATTCAACTTATGCATAATGGCTCGTGTCATTGATTTCTTACATTTTGCTCAAATAGAAAACTCAATATTTGTGATGTTTTGGTACATCACTGTTTCTTTAAAATGTGTTAATTCTTTATATAAATATAATGCTGATAGTAATGGAGATTTACTTATAAATTTTCTTCCTGTACAAAAACAGACAGACGATAATAGTTGAGGCCTGTTTGTTGTTGTCTTTGCAGCCAAAATAATAACCGGTAAACCACCAATAATCACAAACTTTGATGTATTAAAGATGCGGGATAACTTGGTATTATGCTTAAAGTCTCAGTACTTTTCACCATTTCCTAAAAAGAAAATTAACTGAAAGTATGTTTTTAGAGTCTATATAAAGAATTAGATTTATATCTAAAAGGTTCTTGGCTTTTCTTTGAGAGTTTTTTAAAGAATCTTATTGTGCTTAGAAAATACTTAAGTAAAAGTCAACTTTAAACTATTAACCTTAAAGTTCTTGAAAGAAATTTTGGCTTATTAATACAGTTTATTTTTAAAAAACTGGGGAGTTTTTTACATAGAAGTGCAACAAAGCTCCATAGTTCTTCAAACTGACATTTGTTAAATCTCACTTGTTGTCCCTTAAGGAAATGTAGTTTACTTGCATAATAATATTTTTAAAAGTGGTGTCTTTTTTACTTGGACATTTTTGTTACTTAAAAGAAAATTGTGTTTTTTAGCTTTTAATATAGCTAGTATGGATTCAACGCAACCATTTTTTATAAATAGTATGAATGACATAATCTTAATAGTAAATGATTTGTTATGAAAAGAAAAAATTTCAACACTTCAGTAGTGTTTATTTTTTTTGTTGACAACAACAGGGAAAAAAAAAAACTCAATGTTTTTATTTTTTTAAATTTATATGTATATGTATATGTATATATATATATATATATATATATATATATATATATATATATATATATATATATATATATATATATATATATATATATATATATATATATATATATATATATATATATATATATATATATATATATATATATATATATATATATATATATATATATATATATATATATATATATATATATATATATATATATATATATATATATATATACACACATATATATATATATATCCCGTAAACGATCCTTTTGCATCAGCATATATTTATTTCATGTTATGTTGACTGAAAGGTAAACTTTAATATAATTACAACTCTCGTATTTGTAAAATGTATGTAATTATTGTATGGCTAACTTATGTCTGCAATAATTTTTATGTATATTTTACAAAAACGAGAGTTGTAATTATTTTAAACGGCAAATTTATAACAATAATAATAATAATAATAACAATAATAAAAAAAAATGAATTAAGATTTCAAATTTATATGATAAATATTTATTTTAAAAATCGAATATCATCGAAAATATAATTCGCAAAACGTATATAATAGGCATGAAAATTATTGAATGGTGGGGGCAAGAAGAAGACAAAATAGTCTTATCGTTAAGCCACCAATAATCTGAAAATAATATAGCCATCAAATCTTGTCATTAAAAATGATGTCAAATATAAAAAGAAAAAAAATTTTTTTGTTATATAAGGATAATAAATTCTAAAATTTATTTTCAATAATAATAGAACACAAAGCAAAAAGAAAAACTAAACGAACGGAAAAAAATATTAAAAACTATATGTAACAGTTTTTAATTATTGCGATTAAGAATTCGTAATTAGGAAATATAATGAAAAGAATTTAAAACTTCAAGGAAAAATTTTTAGATTTTCATAATAAGAAAATAAAAAATAAAAAATAAGTTTTTAAAGAACCAAATTTTTAAACTTTTGCAAAAAAAAAAATGAAAGTATACAATGCAATATTTTTAAGGCCAATAATTAAATATATAGCTTTAGAAGGAGTCCTTTATGTTTTGATTAATTAAAATTATTTCTTTTAGTTTTGATTTAAAAATATTTATGTTTGCAAGCGTTTTGATGTCATTTCTAATTACTATGCTCCATAGTTGAGGGCCTTTAGCTGTGATAGAAAATTTAATTGCTTCAAAGTGAGTTTTAGCTTGAATATAATTATTGTTTGCATGTCTAATAAAATATTTGTGCTGTATTTTTTTAAAGATCGTTTTAAAAATATTCGGCGTTATATTGTTATTGATTTTATACATAAAATTTAAATAACGATATATTTTTTTAATAAACATTTAAAAATTTTAGATTAATAAATAGTGGTTGTGAATGAGAGAGACGGTCTGCGTTGGATATTATTCTTATGGCATGTTTTTGTTTGTTGAACAGCTTGTTTAATTTTTTTGTTATTGGTGCTGCACCAAGCAATTTTAGCATAATTGAGATAACAATGAATAAAAGTTAGGTAGATATATTTTAGGTAAATTTGATTTGGGTAAGGTTTTACCTTATAAAGAATGCTGAAATTTTAAAAAAAAAATTTTCGATTAATTTTATGTGGTTTATCCATGTGACATTTTCGTCGAGAAGAACACCATTAAGTGTTCTCTTTTTATAAATTGATTCCCAATGCAAACATTTGGGAGCTTTAGAGGAATTTTGTCTCTTTGATAAAGGCGACGAAAAAAGATATACTTAATTTTGGTTAGGTTTAATGACAATTTATTTGTATTAAACCATTCAGTTACTTTTAACAGTTCTTTGTTGACTGTTTAAAATAGAGTTTTTATATTACTATGGGAATAAAATAAATTGATATCGTCAGCAAACAAAATAGAGTTTAAAATATTCGAAGCTTTGCTCAATTCGTTTATGTATATTAAAAACAAAAGCGGCTCTAAAATGAATCCTTAAGGAACTCCACAAGTGATTGCTTTATTTTCAGTTTTACCACCATCATAAGAAGCATACTGCTTTCTATTAGACAAGTAGTTTTTAAACCAAACTATATTCGCATCTGTAGTTTACTAGTTTTCACAGTTGAGCGCCATTTTTTTTAATAAAATATGGCGGTCAACTGTGTCAAAGACTTTGCTAAGGTCTATAAAATTACCTAATGTATACTCTTTTTTATCAAAGGCTCGAAAAATATCATGAACAAGTTTAAAAATAGCATGATCAATTGAATTAGTTGAATGACTTTTTTAAACCTAAGTTGTTTGTTATACAAAATATTATTTGTTTCTAGAAAAGAGAATAGTCTATTATACATTATTCGTTCCAGTATTTTAGAGAAGCAAAGAGATAGGTCTATAATTAGAGACATAAGAAGAATCACACATTTTTTAAACCGGTATAACTCTTGCAGTTTTAAAACATTCTGAAAATATTCTTTTAAAGAACTTTTAAGAATTCTGAAAATACTGTTTTAGAGAAAGATTGAAAATATGCAACAGTGGTGTTATTAAATAATCCATAGATTTTATTACAACATTACTACTTATTCCTCAACTCCTAATCCTTTGGTTAGTTTTAACGTTTGAAAAGCAATTAATAACTCATTTTTAGTCAGTTTATTGTTGGTCATTATTGTATTGTTAGCAAATATGATTCTACGCTAAATTTACAAGGTTTTAGTTTTAAGGCTAAATTTGATTCTACACTAACAAAAACTTGATTAAATGCTTTTGGAATTTTTGATTCATTAAGTATATCAACGCCTTTAAAGTTTATTGTTTTTGTAAGACAAGTAGTTAATAACTTTTTTTTACTAATTAAATCTTTAATGACATTCCAGGTTTTCTGAGTGTCGCCTTTGAATTTTAGTAATTGATTTGAATAATATATTTTTTTTGAACAATTTATAACTAGCTCAAAAATACCTTTATATTTTTTAGACTTGGATTCATTATCAAATGTTTTTTTTTTTTAAATAAAATTTTTGTACAAACGTTGTTTCTTTTTTAATGATTTTAATATTCCGGTAGTTATCCATGTAGTTCAAATACATTTTAGATTTAATAATTTTTGTTATCTCTTGAAATGCATTATTGTAATATTTTCGAAATATTTGAAGAAAAATGTCATAAGCTTTGTTAGTGCTTTTTATTTGTAAAATATTTTCCCAGTTTTCAGAAGATAAAGCTTGATTAAAAAGTTCGATAGAAACGTCATTAATTCGCATTTCCTGAAGATTGAAGAAAATAAACTGTCCATTTTTAATATTATTTCTCGTAAGTTGATAACTACCATTAACGAGTATAAAAAATGTCATATTCATAACACCTTTGAATAATAAAGACAAAGCAATGGTTATTATTTTGTTGTATTAAGTTATAATGTAAAGTTCTTATAAAAGTAATTTCAAAGGTCATTAAAATTGATAAAAAATAAAAAAAGATTAAACTAGTTTGTAATCATTTTTATCCTCATATATTAAATTTATTCATTTAATAAGTTTTATTTCGATTTGATTTAACATATTTTGCACATTAGACACAGCGTGTAAAAAATTTAATCAGTAAATTAAATATTTGCGACTTCTAATACATTTGTTTTAGAAACTCGCTGTTTCTTTTTTGCTTTAAAATGTTTATCGTAAAGTTGACAATCATCACTTGACCAAATAATTTATTATTTAAACAGCAATATTCTACAACAAGTAAAATTTATTTTTTCTAATAAACAAAACTTTAACATGAAAAATCGAATAATAACTGACTTGTTTATAGCGTTAATGGCTTTCATAATATGTGAAGCAGAAAAAAAATACTTTAACAATAGCTTGGTAGATTTTCACTTGACATCTGTAAATGGCAAAAAAGTTTCAAAAAGAAATTCATATTGTCTCACATTAACAAAAGATGAGCTGATGTCACATTACCAATCTTTTTCAGATTATAATCCTCAATATTTAGCTGCAACAATTGAAGAGGCAGTTCTTTTTCCAAATTTGTTATGGGATAACAAAGACATAGTAAACTATATGTTTATAATAAATGAATTAAAAACAATTTATAAAAAAGTGTTAAATCCTAACGATCTCTATTCAATTTTAAAGTTTAAAAATCTTGTGGAAAAGAGTTTAAATTTGAGCATGAGCAAGAGTACAGGTGTGACCACAGGTAATATTAGAAGAACTAAAGAGCGAACAATAATACAAACAAAATTTTGTGCTGACGCAAATTCAACACATCCAAAGACTAAGCTGGTCCAATTGTGTGCACAATGTACTGCAAGAACAGAAGAAAAGCCTAACTG